TATATATATATATTTTTTTTTTTTTTTAAGTAAGAAAATATACATTTTCTTAAAATCATAACTTCTCATGAAAGCAAGTTTTGTTTGTTTTATTTAAATAAAAGAATTTAGATTTAAGTAAATATAGTATCATTTCTCATTTTTCAGATATATAGTATTTTGTTTCAATGTAGTCGCGTGAACGCGAACGTCAAGAAATTTTCTCAATTCTACGTCCACGATTCTACTGAAACAATCGCGCAATCATATGTATATGTTATTTTTCTAAGATCTATTTACAGGACGCTCTCTTTTCTCCCTCTCTTTCAGAGACAAAAATCGATATAATTTAATGGCCATATTATGCACGTTGCAAGATCTTCGCAGACCCACGCCACTTTACAAGTTTTCCCGTAAAATTTCTTTGATGGGAAGAGCGATGCTTCGTAGACGGAGGGAATTTTATGCTAAACGTTACTATTGAATTTTGTAACCGAGGAGTAGATCGACATTCTACTCTATAATTGACTATCCTTTCATCTCATATGTGCTACTTATGTATATATTCTAGGAATTTAAATATGTTAAAAAATTTGCTATATTTTTAGCAAAATTTACTATTTTTCTTAATAAGATGGACCTTACTGATAATCTATTTCTGCATTAATAAAGACATAGTAAGACTGAAAAGAATTTATATGAAAAGAAAGTATAACGTCCTCCTGACACAGAAAGACAATTTAGACATGTGACATTTTTCTAAAGTTAAGAGCCTGAATTTGTACGAGTGTCTTGCGACGTACACAAGTACACACGGGGGTGCCACGTCCCCCGATGGTGACGCCTTTGACGGTTGGCGTCTTCCTACGAGTTACAAGGAGAGCAGCCCGGCCGAACAATGATCCCGAAATGTCGCCGCGCTCGTTCGGGTAAACCGGTCTTTAAGAGGCGAGCGAAGAGATCGAACCCGTGTCACTGTGCCTGTCTCCGTACCGACCACTCGCTTATTTTCGGTTCGTCCGAATTTCAATGGCAAGCGACGCTGGCAGCTTGCCAGCGGCGCCCCAATGCGACTCGCGCTCTTGCCTTTCCGGAGACGCCTTCGGCACAGGCCGAGCTCCTCGGATGCCTCGTCTTAATGAGGTGTCGATGCTCTCCCGAAATCGACACCAGGCATTGCGAGCAACGAGATCGGCTGCCGTACCCCGTGGATAATTAACGGAAAATAATTGATGAAACTAACCATTTCGGATTAATTTACGCCGCCGTGTAAAATTAATCAGCGGATTACGCCCGCAATGGCTATTTCATCGAGAATGATGCATGAGAATTGAAAGGTGGCTCATGATATATATTATCAAAGCGAAAAGCGCGAGTGGCGGATGAATAATGTAGCGTAAAACAATATACTTAATCTAATATTAATAGACTATCGAGGTTAATATGACCTGCGCGATTGTGTATTCATTATGTATTACCTCTGTGTATCAGAGGTATATTGGATAGCAGCATGATTTTCGGAACAAATTGCGACGATATTTGGAATTGCTAACGTACCTTGTTTAAACGCCATTAAACGCGTCCGCAGAAGTAAAAATTCGTAATAAGATGGCCAACGAGATTTTCATTCTTAGTGCTCGAACTAATCGCGTAATGGCGCTGGATGCGCTGCGCCTGTTGGTCGATTTCTACTCGATTCGATTCGAGAGTATAAAGAGCTACCATTGGTCTGTTCTTTTCAGCTGACTGCCGAACCTGATGCGATAAGTTAGAGTAAGAAAAAGAGAGAGAGTATACTTGTCTTACTTTAACTTATTGCACCAGTTCAATAGTGTAGCTAAAAAGAACGTATCACATGTTTCTACTTATTAACTGCACTTTCTGTACCTCTTGCAACTTCTCTCTGTCTCTAGGAAGGGACAGACTTCATACAGTTTTGACGAATGATAAATCGCGCCGAACCGAAACTGTTCGTTATAAATTCACGTAAGCTGAATTACGATCGTTCCTAATTATGCAAATCGGAGTGAATTATTATTGTGAAATTCGGAATTTGTTTACACTTGGACGTTGCGTCCACTAGATAACAGTTTAAATAATTACGAACGTAAATGTACAATTATGCACAGTAATAGCTAACAGTTGTTGAAATTAAAAACATTCTACAAATTCTCCTGTGCATAATGAATATTCTTTAATTCCGATTGATTTTATTGTTGGGTGGTTGTGCAATTGTGATTTTTCCACCCACCTGTTGAACTACAACTGTTCCAGATATGCATACAACATGGTTGTAGAGGCATTCTACAGCGGGACTCCAATGTCAGAGAAAATTCAGCACGTATCGTTCGATAGAGTAACGAAAAATTGTATTAATATACCTCCATTAAAAATACACAAGCTTTGTGTGACGAAGCACAATATTTAATCCTACCATGATCTGGCTTTTGTTCTTTGTCATTCATGTAGTATCAGCCAATACTAGTAACTTAGTATTGAGAAATTTAGGTGAAAAGGAATATTCTCTGCTAAAAGGTAAAAAATTAAAATTTAAAAATTAAGAAAAAATAATGCCTGATTAATAAAATAAAAAGGAATAATAAAAATTAACCTGATGTTGCAGCAAAATCATTATCACAACATGGAAAATGTTGGCATTCTGCACTTCAAGCTTTGAAGGGTACTTGTGACAAGTTGAATGATCATGAGCATTCTCTTCTTGCTTTGCACTTAGCAAATTGTTTCTTAGAAGACTCTGGACATACTACTTATAGCTGTCATCTTAGTCAATCAGAAGATGAGCGTCGGTAAAACAAGCTTTCTTTAGAATATATATTATTATATATATTATTATATATATTATATATATTATTTTCTTAGTATATATATATATATATATATATATATATATATATATATATTTCTTTTCAATATCCATGATAATCTGATATATAGTTTATCTATTTTGCAGTACATGCATCAGTGGTATGGTTGACCGAGCCTTCAATGTTTACAATGAATTTTACACACATGCAACACATATCTGCTTCTTCTTGAATCATGAAGCTTGGCAAGCTGAAGTCGATAATACCATAAAATTGTGAGTACAAAATACAGTACATAACATATTATAAAGAATATCTTTTTATGTATTATGCAATGGTAGATTGTTTCAAGTATCTTCTCGAATGAAGGATCAACTTCTGGAAGCATCAGAGATGCAAAGTGTTATATTGAACAGTCAAAAAGAAGGATTGCGTATTCAAAATGAGCTTTTGGATCATGGTAAAGAACTTGGGTCTGTATTGAAGACTTCATCCGAGACAGTTAACAATATGGTAGTAGATTTCAAGTGAGTTTATAAATTTAACCTTTGTATTACTTGAAGATCTAACAATAATTACTGTAAATTTTTAATAATATGTAACTTGAATATTTTGATTTAGAGAGTCAGCCAAAGATCAAAAGGAGTTGCTCTATGAAATCTTTTCTTATATACGTACTTTCCAAAGCTGGATTATTGGAGAAGTCTCCTGGTTTCAATCTATTATATTTTATACTGTCAGCTGTATTCTTTGTGCACTGTTCAGTTCCTCTAGAAGAACTATCGACGCGCGAGTTACGCTGTTTACTATTTTAAGCTTGAACATAGTAGCTGAGAGAATATTGGTACAGTACTATGATAATATTGTACATCAATCTCCAGATGATAAAGTAATATACAATTTCAAACTCTTGAAACTTGAAATCATTTAATTGTGAAAAGTGTCTCATGGCAATTTTTATGACAGGCACAACTCTTGAGTACAACATGGTTGTACAGGAAAATCGCCTTAACACTCTGTGCTGTAACATTATTTTGTACATATTATTATTATAAAGATGAGCAGTTGGAAAACTTTAAAACTTTACAAAGAATTGAACGACAGTTGAATGTCATACAGAAGATTACAACCGTCTCCAATAATACTCAACAAATTCGTAAGTATCTGGTAAATGTTTTTATTGCTTTTGATCAAAATGGCATAATCAGCTATTTTACATTCAGGTTACTCAAAACGACTCGCACTGAAGCGGTTACATACTGTTTCTGATCAATGAGACAATGTCACAGACATTGTAAACACTGAATAATTATAATTAAAAAATAATAAAAGATAACTACTTGTTATACAAGTGTATGATGAAAATGAGGAGGTGACACAATTATAATAGTAAATATTTATGAGAATCTTTAGTATGCATTTATATTAAATTTATAATTCCCTAACTTCACATATTTTATATATTCTCATACAGTCTGATACTATATGCAAATACATAATTGTATATATATTTGTATATAGTCTGGCACTAGATACACAAATGTCTTAATAAGAAAAATACTATGGTGTTTTATACTTTCGAAAGAGGTATCCAATTTGAGCAGATGTCTGATTCTTACTATTAGGTGTAGGTATTATATTCCCAGATTGAATTTTATGTTCCTTCATTTTCCAGGAATAATTCTCATAGCACGCATGTAGTGCGTTAAATTGTGGTATACAATTTTTGTTCTCATTTTCGTTTTCTTCGAGGCATGATAGGAGCAAGGATACTTCATACAAACACCCACTTTCTGAAATAAAAGTATTGTGGATTCATTATAAATTATACTTCAAGGTTTCATTACAAAACATCTTTTCCGAAGAAAATTTTACTCTTAAATCTATAGCTCATGTTACATACACTATAGACTTAAGAGTAAAATTTTCCTCGTAAAGGACGTCTTGGAATGTAACCTATAAATATAAGGATGTGCATACCTGCTACTTTCCGATTGCTTCTGGTTACATAATTCTTCAGTACCATCGGCGTCATCGCCTTGAGTGGCACTTTTTTTTCACTTTGGTTGACATTGCGAAGCAATATCGATGTCAACTTCATCTTTCTGTAAAATAACACAAAATTGTGAGACTTTCTGCTGTGAGGTTAGAATTTTCGCGAGATTACAAAAGACCGAGAATTCTTGAACGTGTGACTTATCCATGTCAAAACGTGGCTGACTGTTATCGTTATTAAAATGAAATGCAGTTTTCAAAGCTATCAACCAACATTTGTAGACATACATTGGTTCTAAATGAGAACGCTGTCTGCTACGATTGAGACAGCGCGACGTATGATTATGAGGTTAGAATTTTCACGAGGTTACAGAAAACCGAGAATCTTTGAACGTGACTCTTTATTCATGTCAACATGTGGCCGATTGTTATTGTTACTAAAGCGAAATGTAATTTCTAAAGCTATTAACATACATTTGTAGCAGAGAGAAGCATGAGAGCGACCACCAGCTTGATTTCAATGGCCACAGCTAAGCGCATTTTCGAGACGCCATCTAACAGAGTGCGCCTTTACTATGTTCGTTAGGCGCATTTTCGCGGTGGTAACGATAAAATGCGCCTGGTTCGTGCCCGTTGTACTTCCATACAATAATAGTAAGTTAGAAAAGAACAAACGCCCAATCGCTCTATTCTTGTCTCACCACTGATGAGCGGACCGTGCGACGTAGCGAGCTAGCGGCGATATTATCGCAAAACTAGATCATCTCTCATCAGTCTCGTCTTTCTCACGCTGCGTTTTGCGTAATTTTGCAAGGAAAAAAGATTTGGAAACTGGACAATATAAATAAATATACAAGCTTAAACATGCCGCTCATATTTTTTACTTATTTCTCGGCAACCACAAAAGATATCGATGTGATTCAAAGAAAACAAAGTTCTCCACAATCTATCCTGTTAAAATTCAGAATTCATGTTTACTGAGAAACGATGCGCCAGATCGAGAAAATCCAATTCTCTAAATACCAGAAGTATAAAGACATTTATGAATTCTAGTGTACTGATTTTATGTATACATAAATATGTATTGATATTTAATAAGAGATGTATCAAGAGATGATACATCTCTTGATATATCATCAAGAAATAATTCGACGAGAAGGGAGCTTTTTAAGTCAAAATTTCAATTGTTATGCAAGAATAATCCAATTAAAAAAATTATAAATTTTTATCAATGGATATTCCATTCATCTTTTTATATAAAACAAAAAAAATTCAAGCTAACATCACCGCAAAATTTAATTAAGAAATGATTTCCTTGAACACAATCTCTCAATGTGATTATGATTAAAAATACCACATTTCTTGGTAGCATAGACTGTGTTAAACAGAAAAGTAACAGAGAAACGATTGACATATACGCGAACGCTATGGCCCTTATTCTTCTTTTTGTTGATAAAAGTGTCTCTTAAAAGTGGCTTGTAGCCAATCAGAAAACTTATGAGCTACTTTCACACGGGTGCTTTTATAAAAAAAAAAGAGAACTCAAAATAAATATCTACGAAGATAAAGGCAAAATTGCACGTACAGATGAGTTCTCATACACAAATTTTCGTTTTGCATATATACAGCTTTCATTTTCAACTATTCACTTTTTCCCACCCGTAGTTTGAACGTGATTAATACACACTTAGATTTATTCACGCGTCGTATATTATTTCTTCTCCTCAGAAGTGATTTCACCCCATTGAAACTTAATTTGTCGTCTTGTCAACAACAAACGCGTATGCATAAGAAGATATCTCCGAAGAGATAGTATATCGTATATAATACGACATAATAAGTTATAAAGTATAATAATCACATAGTATATATAGAGTATATATAGGATATATATAAAACATATATAGAGCATAAAATAAACATATATACATATACAGAACATGTAAATGATATGTCGAAATTTATCAGTTTAATGTATTATCAAGAAGTAATCCGACGAGAAGCAAGCTTGCCGAGTCGAAATTTCAATTGGCCATTGTTACGCAAGAATGGTCCAATTAAAAAAATTATAAGTTTTTATCAATGGATACTTCATTTACATCTTTTTAGACCAAACAAAAAAATTCAAACCTTACAAATGCTTGAAATGAGTTAAGAAACAGTTTTTTAATTTTTTACAGTCACGTCTTTTTGCACATTTTTCTAAGGGTTGAGCTCGTTAGTACTCTTAAAGAAATGGAAATACTTGACTCGTTAAACTATTGCGAAAATTTCAGAGCTAAATTCTTTGGTTGGATCATTTTTTCTCCGGCGAATTGCAAATTCCAGTTCTTACTTTACTTCCCGTCGAACCCAGTGCGATTTACGTCTACGTGCATGTAATCTACGTAAGGTGACGCTTTGTGTCTACTATACGAGCGTTTAAATTGAGCGCTTACCATTGCGCGTTGTCCCACGATGTCCAGGGTCCACCAGCCAACATCCTGTCGCTGCATCTGACACTGCGACGGTCCTCGCGTCCCACGTCGCATGTAATTCACTCCCGACCGCGGTAATCTAACGGAGGTTTCACAAAAAATCCCGGCTCTCTTGGGAGGTACACTCCGAGTTACGAATTGCGTATGAAAAATCGCAAACTGCGTCTTCGAGGAAATGTCGGCCTTTCGGATAAACAACGAGTATGTGCGACGAATTCAGCAACGGTCCGATCGAGATTGTAGTGTATCGCTTTGATACATGCGCGACGTGAATCGCTCGCGTGAGAACTATGTGTCTCAATTCGTATTAATTATCGCTTTAATTATGGCGAAGTTAAAATGCGGTATTAAAAATCGGTGCGAAATAATTTAGAAAATAACGCGGCGGCTCACGATGTACTCGTCTCGACGGTTGAGAGTGTTATGAGGTGATACTTGATCACGTGCTCACGCACGCGTGTTTACATGGCCTGGCTGGCGGGTCCCCCCCCCCCCCCC